CCTTCTCTTATACAAATTAAGAAACATGGTAAATAGTTGGGAGTTAAGAGATCAAGGTTATGCCAATTTTTAAAAAAATATTTTTTATTTGCAGTTGGACACAATATCTTTATTTTTTAAATTTATTTTTATGTGGTGCTGAGGATTGAACCCAGGGCCTTGCATGTGCTAGGTGAGTGCTCTACTGCTGAGCCACAATCCCAGCCCAGGTTATGGCAATTTTAGAACAATATATATTAATTATTTCTTTCTTTCTTTCTTTTTTTTTTTTTTTTGTATGTGTGTGTGATGCTGAGGGATTGAACTTAGGGCCTTATGCATGTGAGGCAAGCACTCTATCAACTGAGCTATATTTCTAGCCCCAATGATTATGTTTTTATATAACTAATGTAGCCATACTACTAAATTAAGAGGAAAAAAATCAAGGGAATTTTTTTTTTATTTCTTCACTATAGCATAATCATGTTCATAAATATTTTGTTATTTTTGAAGAAGTGGTAGTAGTACCAGGTGTGGTAATGCATGTATTTAATCCCAGTTACTGGGAATGCTGAGGCAGGAGGACAAGTTCCAGGCTAGCTTGGGCAACTTAGGAAGACCCTGTCCCTAAATTTTAAAATAAATAAATATTATTATAACGAATTTAACATACATACATACATACATACATATATATATATTTTTTTTTTTTTTAACGTGATGCTGGGGACCAAACCTAGTGCCTCATCCTTACTAGGCAAGCACTCTACCACTGAGCTACAACCCCACCTCTTCCTCCTACTACTTGTGGACTAGTTGGTCAGTAAGTGAGTCCTTCATTCCCTGGATGGGTAGTTAAGGTTTTTTTCTTCCCTTGATTTATATGTCAGTGTATTAGTTGCCTCATTCATGCCAAGACTAATAACTGTTGAAAATGATTAGTTGATTGGCTTTACTCCATAAAAAAGCAAAAAGTAAGAGAAGTGATCATATAGCTAGATGTTTCTGAAACTTGAATAAAGTGTGGGCAATAACATGTTTATATAACCATGTTACAAACCTACACCTAGGTATAAAATCCTTTAACTACAGAACTCAAATGTTATCAAAAACAATTTTTTAAAACTTAAGCATTAATCAAAGGACAAATGAAAAAATTAACTTAGCATTCCTGAGGTTGTGGGTTAGCTGAAATTTACCTTCTTTTTCCTCACAAGACTCTGATACTGATTGCTACATAAAGTTCTTTAGAGTGTGTGATTTCTCCATGCTATTCCCCCCATGTGCCTTGTGGTACAACACTTTGGTGCTACTACTTTTCCATACTTGAACTAACATTATTCATAAGGCTTCCTTGGTCTCCATACAATGTGACTATCATTTTTATAATACTTCTGATGATTGCTAACATTCAGTGAGTGCAAGCATTTAGCAAATTTCATTTTATTTTATTTATTTCATTTATAGTCTTTTTTATTTGTTCATTTTAGGTATATGTGACTGTTGAGTATATGTTGACATTTGTACAAATATGGCGTATATTTTATTCTAATTAGGATCCCAGTTTTGTGGATATACATGATGTGGAGATTCATTGTGGTATACTTATGTATGTAAATATTCCTATTCTCCCTTCCCTTCATTTCCTTTTGTCTAATCCACTGATGCAAGCATCAAATTTCCCCATTTGAGGGCCTAAAGATGACAGCCATTTGCTCTAACCCATTGTGACAAGATCTGGAACAGGATCTATAATCTCCATATCCACTCTAGAGAGGTCTGTCCTAGCATTGGAGAGTTATCCAAGTCAATGTGGAAAATGGGGGTTGACACAGAAAACTAGAATCATCAAACCAGTTGAGCAAATGGGCCTCTCAAATAGCACAATCCACCCAGCTGGCCTCCATTTCAATGGTTTAGAGCAGTCCCCTTGGAATTAGAATAACCATTCTTTCTTAAGAATTTTTTTAAAGATTTTTTTATTTGTTCTACTTAGTTGTATATGACAGCAGAATGCATTTCAATTCATTGTACACAAATGGAGCACAACATTTCAATTCTCTGGTTGTACATGATGTAGAGATGGACCTTTCTTGCAATTAAATGTGTACCTAGGGTAATGATGTCCCTTGCATTTCATCATCTTTCCTACTCCCATGATCCCTCCCCTCCCTCCCCTTTGTCCAATCCAAAGTTCCTTCCCATGTCCCTCCTGCCCCCATCATGGGTCAGCATCCACTAATCAGAGAAAACATTCAGCCTTTAGTTTTTTGGGATTGGTTTACTTTGCTTAGCATGATATTTTCCAACTCCATCCATTCACTTGCAAATGCCATAATTGTATTCTCTTTTAATGCAAATAGTATTTAATTGTGTATATATACCACAGTGTCTTTATCCATTCATTTACTCATGGGCATCTAGGTTGGTTCCACAGTTTAGCTATTGTGAATTCAGCTGCTATAAACATTGATGTGGCTGTGTTACTATAGTATGCTGATTTTGAGTCATTTGGGTATAGACAAAGGAATGGGATATCTGGGTCAAATGGTGGTTCCTCTTCAAGTTTTCTGAGGAATCTCCACACTGCTTTCTAAAGTGGTTGCATATAACAAACAATTTGCAATCCCACCAGCAATATATGATTGTTCCTTTTTTCCCCACATCCTTGTCAACACTTATTGCTTGTATTTTTGATAACTGCCATTCTGACTAGGGTGAGGTGAAATCTTAGAGTAGTTTTGATTTGCATTTCTCTAATTACTAAAGATGTTGAATTTTTTTCATATATTTGCAAACTTCATTTTAAATACTCTATTTTATCATTTAATACTCACAACAAATCTATGATGAAGTATTGACATATACGTACCATCTTGTGGGTAGAGAAATTAAGGCTTAGAGATAGTAATTTGTCTGATGTCACAAAGCTAGCAGGTGGTTACACTAGACTAAGCAATTTTACTCCAGAACCCATACTTGTAACCAGTTGGTATTATTGCCTCCTTGTAAGCCATTAGCCTACATTTATTAAATGTTGACAATCGAAGTAATGTTTTTGCCAACTGTGTTATCATAAATGTAATACCAAATATTGACCTAAATGGACACCATCATGCTTATAATATATTTCTCATCATTGAAATGATAAGAAATGAAAATGCAAATTAAAATAATTGTATAGAATTCATGGTTTCCTAAGACTATAGAAGAAACATTGATTTGGAAGTCTTTTAAGAACTTAAAACATAGCCAGGCATTGTGGCACACACCTGTAATCCCAGTGGCTCAGGAGGCTGAGACAGGAGCATCTCGAGTTCAAAACCAGCCTCAGTAAAAGTGAGGAACTAAGGAACTCAGGAGACCCTGTCTCTAAATAAAATACAAAAATCAGGCTGGGGATGTGGCTCAGTGGTCGAGTGCCCCTGAGTTTAATCCCCAGTACCAAAAAAAAAAAAAAAAAAAAAGAACCTAAAATGTGTGGAAATATAAGTAAAGCCATTATTGAAGGCAATTCATTCAGTCATTACTCAGAGTACATAAATTATATTATCCATTGGGCTACCAACTCCCCTTAACGGGAACAAATCTGAATTAGAACAGGAGAAACTATTCACAAAGTAAACTTCCATTTTTAAAAGATATTTATTTTTTAGTTGTAGTTAGACACAATATCTTTATTTTATTTATTTTTATGTGGTGCTAAGGATCGAACCCAGGGCCTTGCATATGCTAGGCGAGTGCTCTACCCTGAGCCACAACCTCAGCCCTAGACTTACATTTTTGACTGTAAAAGCAGGTAGATATGAGGCTTATTGCCAAAGGAGGCTATGGAATTTGTCCATTACCTTGCGTTGTATTGTTGTTTGCCCAATGTTTAAATGGTGTGGTAACTTATCTTCTTAGAGATAGATGATGGAGATGAGATAGGTTGTTTTGTTATGTATACAAGTCATGCTCTGCATAAGGACATGTTGGTCAAAAGACTGGTAAATACAAGGTAGTCCCAAAAGAGTATAATGAAGCTGAAAATTTTCTGTCTCTTAGTCATAGCATTGTAGATGTTCTGTTATCTATCCTAGGACAAAGCCTTACTCAATGTTTATGGCAGTGCTGGTGTAAACACACCCACTGTGTGGCTAATTGTATAAAATATAACACATACTATCATGACAATATGTGATACTTGGTAATAAACAACTATGTTACTGATTTGTGTATTTACTATACTATTTATCATTTTAGACTATATTCCTAATACTTTAAAAGTTATCAGCATATTACAGTGGTGTAGCCACATCAAAGTTTATAGCAGCTCACTTCACAATAGCTAAACTATGGAACCAACCTAGGTGCCCTTAACATATGAATGAATTTTTTAAAAAATATGGGGTGTGTGTGTGTGTGTGTGTGTGTGTGTGTGTGTGTGAGAGAGAGAGAGAGAGAGAGAGAGAGAATATTACTCAGCCTTAAAGAAGAATGAAATTATGGTTTGCTGGTGAATAGGTGGAGTTGGAAAAATACCATGCTAAGTGAAATAAGCCAATCCCCAAAAATCAAAAGCCGAATGTTTTCTTCCCTGATATGGGGAAGCTAATTCACAATATGGGGGGAGGGACTAGGGAAAAATAGAGTTACTTTAGGTAGAAGGAGGGGAAGGGATATGGGGGTAGGAAAGATAGTAGAATGAATTAGACATTATTACCCTATATACATATATAACTATATGACCGGAGTGATTCTGTATCATATACAACCAGAAGAATGAGAAATTATACTTCATTATGTATAATGAAGTGCATTCTACTATCATGTATAAATAATTAAAAATTTAAAAAAGTTAACTATAGCTGGGCAGCTAATTTTTACTTTCATGTAGAGGAGGTTTTTAAAAATAGAAATAATGTACTAAGTGTAAAAATAAATATTAATAAATTCTCTGGGCGTGGTGATGCATGCCTGTAGTCCCAGGATCAAAGCCAGCCTCAGCAATGGCCAGGCACTAAGCAATTCAGTAAGAACATGTCTCTAAATAAAATGCAAAATCGGGCTGGGGATGTGGCTCAGTGGTTGAGTGTCCCTGGGTTCAATCCCTAGTACCAAAAAAAAGTGACCTTGGGTAAGCTCTTACCTTTCTCTGTCTTAGATTTCTAGACTTTAAAACAGGGATGCACCATATGTCTCTCCATATATATATGATGTGCTGCCCAGATCCTTCCTCCAGGGATGAAATACTAGTCCCCTGCAGCTGTTTGGGTCCCTAATGGCTGGTAGCTTCTGGTTGAATTTCTCCAAGGAATTTCCCTTTGCCCAGGGAGCTGTCTGGTTCAAGGTGAGGCCCCCTCTCTGGTGGCAGCCAAGATCCAGTTACTGGTCAGCACTGAAATTCAAAGGTCCAGGCTTCTTGGCTCAATTTAGGACCCCTCTGAAGGGGCACCTGAGTTCCATGCCTAAATTTGAGGTTAGGCCTCTGTTGCATCTGTGTCATACTTCAGTTTCTTTTTCTGCTCAGCTCTGCTTCTCTATCAAGTGTGGTTTCCTAGAGCATCACCCAGTAAACCTCCTGTGCACTGTCTCTTGAGTCTGTTTCCTGGGATATTTTTACATTATTTTAAGGAGGAATGATAAGTGTAGAGTGTTTAGCTTAAATCTCTGCACACAGTAGGCACTCAGGAAATGGTAGTAATGGTTTACATTTGTTACGTGGCACATTGAGCCACATAAGGAAAAAGTTTGATTATTTTTTAAATTAAATTTTATTTATTCTAATTAGGAAAATGTTTGATTTTGCAGAAAACATAGAGTTGTTTTTCCCCCCCAATGGCCATTTCTCTTACCAGTCCTCATGAAGCTAAGAATAAAATATAAAAATTTTACCAAATGTGCTATAAAAAGTGTTATGATTGCCTAAATTTCTTTCAACCAATTTCCTAAAAAAGTTCAGGTTGCTCAAGGATAGATGTTTACAGTAAACTTAAAAAAACTTGCTTACTTCCAAAATTTTCATTAAAGAGGATATGTTCTTTTCAGGCATCCATGGGATGTAGTTAATACTGAGAAAATGAAAAAAAGATTGTTTTTACATCTTTAACCAATTGACTGAATCTTGATTTAATGTCTGATGGAGGAATTCTAATAACATTAGTTTTTACATGAGTTTATCTGGATTCTTTTTTCATAAATGTATAAAATTTCCTAATGGAAAGTTTTATGTTATAGATTATCTTTGCCTTAAATGTGGCAGTTTTTAGTAAGAAAACAACTACAAATTGAGATCACAGAGATCACAGGGTCAACAGATGAAACAAAGTAGCCTATAATTACAGGGGGGAAAACCGCTTTTACCTTCTAAACACTGGTCTAATGATTAGAAGGCCAATTTTGTAATTAGGAAGAAATACAATATTCAAATGGTAAAAATAAAACTGGGATTTCTGTTTTATTTTTGTCTTATTTGTGTTGTGGGTAGATCTTAATTTTAGACATGATTGTGGAACAATTATTTAAAGGGATTATGTGGGAGACCTTTAAAGAGAAATAGTTTGCCCCTGTTCTGCCATAAATAGTTGAGTGAATTCTCTTGAATGTGTTTTTTAGCTATCACATTCTTAATAGGATAATATTGTTTTAATATTGTCTGAATAACATGTGGAGTTGGTGCCCAAGATCTGAAGCAAGGAGAAAGATTGAAAAAAGATGTGGAGACAGTAACTTTTATAGGTGATATAATAAAAATAATCTTTAATCCAAGTCAGTTCTTTACCAAACTGACCTTTTTTCCCCTTTCAGATGAGGAGGAAATTCTAGACAAATAGCGTTATTTTCCCACCCTTGGTGATTCTATTGCTGCTTATATGTAGAATAAGTGTTTTTACCTTAATTTTTTGACCTGTTTTATTCTAAATGGAGAAATACATGGGATTCTATGTCTAGAAGGATTCTTGTATTCCAGAGAATTCTGTGCATATAAGCATGTGTACTAGAGGTGTGGATTTTATAGTGTTGCCATTAATCTGAGATACTTGTAAATTATGTCAAGTGTAAGTTAAAAGCTTTATAACCACATGAATTTAGTTCCATGAACACTGGATGTTTGTTTTTGACAATTAGTATTGTCCTCCTCCAAGGTTTTTTCTCTTAATAATCTGAGTGGGCAAGAGACTCTCAGCTGCTAGCATGAAGAAACATAGAGAATTTAGGACTTGATATTCACTGAAAATAAAAATTTCCTGAATTATGCATTCTCTGCAAGAATCTCTTCTTATGAAGACAGCCCTGGCCAATTATAAACACAGAGTGAGTGAGTCTTTCATAGCCAGATTCAGAATGAAGTACAAGCTGATAGGATTCAATCCTGGACAGTTCCTAACCTACAAAGATTGAGGCTCCAGAGAGGTAAGATCTCTTTGTTTGTGGTGGTCATTCTTCTGTTTGACCCTATTAATAGCCATGAAACAACTGAGTCTTTTTTTTTTCTATCTTTGATAGAACCACTTTATAGTCTTAAATATTTGTAAGGTGTAAGAAGTAACAAAATTTGGACTGGACTGCAGAGCTTCCTTTGGCAGGTAACTGGCCTCTTTCCCCAAAGAAAACTTTAACAAGAAGAAGGGATACTTTAAAAATAGCCCATTGCAGTTAGTCCTTCATTGTTACAAAAATTGATTTGCTAATTATAATTGTGTTTATGTTTATACCTTGTTTTGCTTTTGCTTTTTTGAAAAGGTTTCAGGAGCCCTGTCTAACTTTGGATTTATTGATTTTATAATCTATTGTGGTTAAACAATGAATTTCCTGATATTCTTTGCTAAGAAAATTTGATCTTACTAGTGATTTACTTTAAAAATTAATTTATTTAATAAATATATTAATCTTACATGATAGGCATTTTCTAGGCCCAAGGAAAATAGAGACAAGCAAGGTGGACAAAATTCCTATTCTCATGCAGTTTACAATTCTATAGCTTTCTTTCTTTAGCAACATCAAAATTTTGTGAGTGGCATTTGTTAATTTTCGTATGCTAAATCCTCTTTGAAGGAATACTTGCCTTGGTTCCTCATTTGCTGAATGAGGAGGAATTTGGACTAGGTTTATTTTTAAGGTTCTTTTCTGTTCAAAACTTCATTGGTCTGGGCGTGGTGGCACATGCCTGTAATCCCAGTTGACTGGGAAAGATGAGGCAGAAGGATCTCGAGTTCAAAGCCAGCCTCAGCAACTTAGTGAGGCCTAAGAAACTCAGTGAGACATTGTCTCTAAATGAAATACAGAAAAGGGCTGGGGATATGGCCCAGTATGGCTCAGTGGTGAAGCACCCCTGGATTCACTCCCCAGTACCAGAGGAAGAAAAAAAAACTTCATTGGAGCCTGGTTTGTAATTAAGCCTTTTGAAGCTCCACTCATCCTCTGTAGATGAATGTAAGTAATACAGGAAGTTTTATAAAATAAAAGTAAATTGTAGGGGAAGAGGTAGGGATAAGGGGGTAAAGGATGTCAGGAGCTACAGAGAGAGCAAATGAGTTAAAGACAAAATATGAAACCCATTCTTCTTAGTAATTAAGAAGACATTGATGATCATGATAGGAACAATTTTAGTGGAGTAATAGATGAAACTGTGATCCCATAGGACAGAAGGATTAGTGTAGACATTGCCTATTCCTGAGAGACTCTTCAGTCTTCAGGTGGTGTTGAAATTGGAATATGTCAGAGCTTAGTGCAGTGACTGCTAAGGAAGGTAGTTAAGACTTTCCTATGCTTGTTTCTGGATGGATGAATTTCCCTGTTTTAAGTTGTTCCCTTAACTAGTTTATCTAGCATCTATATTGAAAAGTCAGATAATGAATGATCAAGTACTGTGTTAATATAATTGGAACAGATAATCAGCATAATGAATGGATTTTCAAAATATTGTTTAAGGACCACTTCAGAAAAAAGTTTTTTGCCCAGTAGGTAGAGGAAAAGTGGTATATTTTGTGAAGGGTAAAGAAATTTCTGTATGCTTTTTACTGGTAGAAATTATTTCCTTCAAGAAACGGGAGGTCAGTATGGTATACATACTTGTAATCCCAGCAACCCTATAATAAGGCAGGAGAAACTCAAGCTTGAGGCCAGCTTCTGCAAATTATTGAGACCCTAAGCAATTTAACAAGATGCTATCTCAGAATAAGAATGAATAAATAAAAAGCGTTGGGGATGTAGCTCAGTGGAAAAGTGCTCCTGGGTTCAATCCCCAGAAGAGAGGGGTGGGTGGGGGTTGTGCTGATTTATACCTATACCTCTAGTTTACTTTCGAGTTTGAGGCAGGAAGATCTCTTGAGCCTTGGAGGTTGGGCCAGGTTGGCCAATGAAGCAAGATCTTGTTGTTTTAAAAAAGAATGAGAGGCTGGGGATGTATCTCAGTGGTAGAGTACTTGCCTAATTTGTTTAAAGCCATGGGTTTGATCTCCAGCACCACAAAAGAAAATGAAAAAAATAGAGACAGAGAAATGGCAATTTGGCTAATTTACCTCTTAAGGGAAATAAATATCAATGTATTTTATCTAAATGAGTAGGAAATTGAGCAAACTGGTTGATTGACTTAAACTAGTTGTGCTGATCTTTAGAATCTTTGTAATGCCTCTGATACAAATTAAGTCTACCTTATTTTAGGATTTCTGACTAATATATGCTATATTCTTCTTTGGAAGCAAAACCAACATAGTGTAGAACAGAGATTTTTTTAAGCTGAGGTTCTTGTCTGGGCTCTTCACTGAGCCCATGTTCCCTTTGAAATTGTATGGAATGGTTTGTGTGTATATGCATTTTTCTGGGAAGGCAATCCATGACCTGAAAAAGTTAAGTACCTCCATACTGGAGAGGAAAAGCAAACGATCGAAGAATGAAAAGGATTTTTTACTTGCCAAAACTTGCTCTGTAGTACTAAGACCTGGGGAATGTAAAACAGGTATGCTGTTATTTTTCTTCTTGGTTTTGTTGAGTTTTTTTTTCTTTTGGTTGGTTTTAAAAGATTTAGATAATTGGCAAGTCAGTTACATATTAATGTACAGAAAATGTAGTAAAATAGGTAGTAAAAAGTTCTGTAGGCCTCACAGGTTTTGCCTTAGGTAACTTTATAATCATTAGTTACAACTCACTGTCAAAAGATATGTGTAGGAATTTATACTATATCCTTAACATCCTTCTTACTGTGTGCAGGAACATGTTTACTGACTTATGTCTGCTATTTAAGTTTTTTTTCTTGCCTACTTTTATGCTCACAGTAACAAAGTATATAGTTAAAGAAATTTTAGTCTTTAAAATATTAAAGTGTTGTTTTGTTGCTTCATAAGAGCAATTCATAATCTTTGCTATAACAATAATCTCAATTTAAAGGAAGTAAAAAGATGTTTCATGAACACTTTTGTTGCTTCAAAATACCCATTTGCTTTAGTTTGAACTATTGTTATTGACACTTTTATTAGAAAACCAATCACTGAAGCTTTACCCACCCCAGTGTAATTTCACCATCTCTTGTGGAGAATAATGTGTGATTTTTTAAAAAAGTCTTTGCTTGTGAATAAGTATAGTCTTTATTTAATCATGTGGATGACACAATTACAAATTTATCATGTTTAGGTGGCAGAGGGTTAAAATGACAATACATGCATTTCTAGTATGGCCAGTTTGACAACTACATTTGAAAATCTGTTTCACTGCTTATTTTTTTCTTATACCATGGTTTCCTGCTGTTATAACTGAGCTGTCCTCCCTTCATATTGACTTTATTTTTCATCTGAAATCTTAGACTGATCAAGCCAATGTTTTCTAAACAACATACAATATGTTTATATGTGTAGTTTTTATGCCTTATTTCTATTCCTCCTCATTATATGCTCTGTTTCACTTACAGTCAGTTCAGTTTGAACAGTGATTTTGTGGGGGCAAATTTTGAGAAAATAATTGAGCCTGTGGTGGAATTGCTTGGCCTATGCCTTCATGATTTATTTTGTTTGCTTCCTACTTTGCCATACCAGGGAAGAACTTACTTCTTCCCATTTTCTGAAAGTTGGAGGAGGAACTGGAGGACATTGAAGCAAAAGAAACTTTAATCCCATTCCCAAAGTAGCTTAATAATGACGGGCTTTGATGAAACCACTGGCCCTTATATAGATCTTATTTTCCAAGCCTTTCATTATTTTATTTGCCCTTTTCTGAACTCTACAATTTCCCTCTCTTGTAGCTGGTTCGATGCCCAGAACTGAATGCTGTGCTCCAGCTGTGGCCTCACCGGTGCTGAATAGAGAGGAAGAGCCACCTTCATAGCTTACATGTGATTCCTCTGCTTATACAACCCAATACTGGATTTACTTACTTTGGCAAGATAGCTGCATTGTGCACTGTATTTAATGTTACGTGTACTGTAACCCTGGGTCTTTCTCTGCATTGCTGCCGTTAAACCCCGAATCCTGCCAATCTAAAACTCCTGCCTTTGTTTACCTACCCCTCCCCCATAGACTCCTCATACATTCATCTACAATGAATGTTATCTTTTTTATTCTCTCTTTTCCTTTGACTCTAATCTTAAACTTTGGCAAACTTTCACTCTATCCTTTAAATGGTCAGTTGTCAGCCATCTTATATTTCTCCCTGCTTTGGTAATGGGACATCTTCCAAGTCTTTCTGTGGTTCTTTTCCTTTTGTAGTGCTAAGGACTTGGCACTTGGTAGTGGACTTAGTAAACATCCACCTGGTGTTTCTTCCCAAGCCAATACCCATGAACTCCTTTGGTTTGACCCCTTAATGAGTTCTTCTATTCAGACTTTCTTGACTCCTCTTGACCTCTATCCCTATGATTTCATTCAAGATGGATAGTATTATCTTATAGTTCTTCCTCCAGGAAAGAAATAAAACATAATATCAATATACTGGGGAGATTCTGACATTAAGAAAAGTTATTATTTTTGTTTGAGGATAGTATAGTCTTAAATATGTCTAAGCAAATTCTTTGCCCCAAGATTTTAATTTTGAAACAGCAATTAGAGCTTTAGTTACTGTAAATGTCTAAGATGGGTAAGGTAAAGGAAGAAGAAAGGGAAGCAGGTTTTTTGTGTTGAATAGATTGTGATTTTCCAAGAAAGCCAAATTGAGGTTTTTGTTGAATTTGGTAGCTGTCTGGAATGGGAGGTATGAAACTTCACTTTTTTCTAGATTCTGAAGTATTATTTTAATCTCAGGTTTAGAGTAGGTTTTGAAGTTAGTTTATTTAGGAATATTGTTACAGGCACCCAATCTTTTAATAATGTGCTTTGGTTAATGATTTAGAGTGTAGAATATGTAACCTTTTCTGATTTACTATGGGTAATAAGAATTGGAAGGTCTCTCTATATGTCCTTTTTATTGATTCTAAGCTCTTTCAAGTTTAGCTAAATTCCAATGTTTGTTTCTGGTAGCAGCAAGCCTATATTTGAGTTTTTCCTTTTTTTTTTTAAACCTTACTTTAGTCAATGTGTCCTGTTTAAACAGCCTCTCTTGGATTTGTGGTCTTTTTTGAACTCAGAAGTTATTGCTTATGTTTATTTGTATCTTGAGAGAGTTAAAATCAATTTGGAAATCTTTTGAATATACTATCACATGGATTTAGAAGTTACCAAACATCTTACCTGCAGGCACCTGATAGATATTTTACATATCAGCATATTGCCTTATTATAAAAGTGTATTCCAAATGTACACTACAAGTAAGAGATGGCAAGATCTGTTAGCCTTTTTTGGTGAACTATAAAATATATCCCCTGACTCTTCTTCCATATCTATGATGATTAGATATTGTTGGTTTCATTATTCATAGTTACATATGAAACTAGGCAAAATTTTAAGCTAAACTTGGTGGTTTCAAAGATTAAGAGTCTTTTCTGTGGTTTCCCACCATGTATATTATCAAACATTGGTGGCTTTGTTTATGCCTGTGTCACTTCCTATTAAGTGTGGGACCTTTCTTCAAAAGAACCTTAGTTTTACTTCTTTACTTCTAGACCAGCCCTTACTGTCAGAGCTAACTGGGCTTTTTTGTGTCCTTAATGCTTTTTCCAGGCAGCCAATAAGTAGTGAGCAGTGGCATGGTTTCCATCTCCATTTATGGCCTTGAAAGGGTGAAGGGACAGTTTTGGGACTCTCCATTTACGGTCCTTGGAAGAGTTGAAAAGAGTGGTTGGGGTGTTCTTGGAGGCAGAAACTAGACATTGTGAGATAAAAATAATTTGGCAGGGGATGTTTGCAATTCAAATTCCAATCCCTGCAAGGAGGGCAGAGAGTGCTGGGAAAGGGGAGCATGTAGAAAGTCAAAAGAAATTTGCTGCAGCATTTGTATTGTAAGGTTTGCCCGTGACATACATTTCCCAAACTCATGTTTCTGATATGTTTCTCTAAGTTTTGTCTTATGTGGTTGTGACTATCCTTTATGAAAAGAAAGAAGAAATGCTTTTAAAAAGAGTATATTATTGGAAACCTCACTTCTCTAAGGCATCATATGAGACAACAGAAGAGAGCTGAAGAAAGAGAGAATGGGACAGGCGTTTGTGTAGGGGGTAGACTGGCTGGCTTTAATATGGGTGACTAATTATTGTTCTGTTAATGTCTGGGAAGACCATCATATGTGTTATGTTTTCATTATACCTTTTGCCTATCTGGATTTCTGGCTCCAAGTGACAGAGTATTTGTAGATTGTCAACTGTGATTTAAAGATAATAAACTTTCACGGCGGCTCTATAAAGATTATCAGGAGTTGTTTTAGTTTGGTGAGGATAGGTGATACACATTGGCGTGTGGAAAGTAATCTCACCCTTTGGAATAAATTTATAATCTTGCTAATGCATATAAATTAAGTCAGAGGTGAACTGGTTCTGTTCAGTTGATTGAAACCCAGTATAGTATAAGGGAGATTAGAAGGAACAAAAGAAAGCAAAGATGGAATAGAGCCTGAATGTGAGTAAATTTGGAAGATGGGACTAAGTCCATGATTTATCCTTTGAAATATCATATAAGATAGCATAAGATGAACCATTAAACTCAGGAAACTGGGCTAATCATCAGAAATATACATTAATAATAAAGACCATGAAAAAAATTGAAGGATTGTACAAGATAATGAAGTTATCCAGGTTTTATCTGTGGACTTGCATAATGATATTTATTTGCTCTGTGGCATGTAGCAGAAAAAGAAATGAAGTAAACCTCCTACTTTGCCCTCCACCCAGAAGGAAAAAAAAAAAAAAACTATTGGTTTTGTTTGTTGGTTTGTTTAGCTAGCAGTTTGAGTTGGTAGATTAGTAAATTGTCTAGTTTTAGCTACAGGTATTAGTGTTCTTGATCATTGATGTCTGAGACTGCAAACTTGTGGCAGTTGATTTGACTTCTGTTTGAACTTTTAGCAGCTACCACAAAGACACAGTGAGTTAGTAAGGAATATAGATTATGTAAATAATATGTTTTATTAGTTAATTTATTTAGGCAATTGTTTTTACCCTGTCTTCCTTCTTAAGAGTAAGGAAGGTATTCTTTGCTTTGGGAAATTCTTCTTTCTGTCCTCCTTTCCTCACACTTTCCAAATTCTGGGCACCATAGCAGCTCTCTCTCTCTTCTGTGGCAGGTGTGCATCCTATTGGCTGGCTGGTATTTCTTGTTTTTTCCCCCCTTATTCTTTTTAAACGGGGGAGGGGGTATAAAAATATGTGTATGGGGTACATGCAATAATGTTGTAATGTTTCTTGTTGTTAATGGATAATTAATTGCAAAATAATTTGTTTGAATTATAACGTGTTTGAGTAAATGCTAAATTAGTATTTTTTCTAATATAATAATGAATTTGAAATCTAGCATTCCTGTAACAATGTGTCTCTGTTTGTCTGTCTGTGTCTGTCTAATAGTAATTAATATCTGTGGTCCGTACCTGGAAGAGGAAGTACAGCTTTAAAGGAATAACAAAAGACTTTGTGTCTTAGACCCTTCGCAGGTGTTACAGTCGGGTGAAAGAACATGGTGTTGGGAAAAGAAAGAGCAGTTACACATTTGAACAGTTGGAACAGGTGTTTGGTCAGGGAGGATGGGATGCTCAGCCCTGCCAGCCTGTACTTATTAACAGTAGTGGCTTGTACCAGGAGCTGGAGTCAGATGGCAGCACAATGGAGGACTATTCACAGGAGGACTGGGGAAATCACAGTCAGGATCTCCATGGCTATCCAACAGATCAGGAATTGGGTAAGAAAGCTAAAATATATGATATCCTTATGTATATTTATCTCCTTGCTATGTGTACTGGTACTTATTGTCATCTGTGATGTCTTCTGCTGTTTCTAGGGTCAGCACAAAGCACATGTCACCAGTTTATTTGGGTCAATGTGGGCATCTTTGGTGTAGGTTTCAACTGCCAACAAGTGCTTTCATTATTTGAGTACCACCCTGATTCCTAAAGATAGAAGAATTCCTAATTCTGAGCCACACAAGGAGGCTCAGTGACAGAATCCTATGAAATTTAATACTCTGAACCTTCTAATTCTAAGATTCTAGTTCTAAGATGCTAAGAGTATTGGCTCTTGTCCTAAGTGCTTTAAGCAAATCTATCTTTTCCTTCCTTCATTCCAAATACTTTTTCTTTTCTATCTCTGATATGGGAAAGACTCTTCCCAGACTTTATAGACTGAACAAAAAATGAGTGAAAGCCTTGACTTTTACTAAAAAGATTGATATCTGAGCCATGTCAGTGATCATTCTCCTTCAAACCTCCTGAGATATCCTGTTCCAACAATAGCTGAAATGTTTTATATACAGTGAAAGCATTCAAAATGGAAGATGCAGTTCCTGGCCATCAAATCTAAATTTGTGTGACCTAATTAAGAGTATATGTGTCAGCCAGGTGTGATGGTGTACGCGCCTGTAATCCCAGTGGCTCTGGAGGCTAAGGCAGGAGGATCCCGAGTTCAAAGCCAGCCTCAGCAATAGCAAGGCTCTAAGCAACACAGTGAGACCCTGTCTCTAAATGAAATACAGAAAAGGGCCTAGGGATGTGGCTCAGTCATTGAGTGGCCCTGAGTTTAATCCCCAGTACCAAAAAAATCCACACACACACACACATACATATGTCTTTTTTTTTTTTGCATTCAGTGCTCCAATTTTTATTTTCATAATTTGGAAGTACTGATCAGTTTTTTTGCTATAGCCATTGCACATTAAAGAACAGATTGTATAATGGACTTTCACTTTTAAGCAAATCTTCTGCAGTGAGATACTAAGGCAATCCCAAGGAAGTATATGTAGGATTGGCAGTAAAAATGTGTTTTTCTAGCTTAAGGTAAAAGTCTGTAGGCCCTGGTTTGTTTGTTTTTTACAGAATACCTGATGATAGAGAAATGCTAATTCAAAAGAAAAAGGCTTAACTTAATATATTTCTTTCTTTTTTTTTTTTTAAGGTGAACACAATGCCTTTATTTTATTTATTTATTTTTATGTGGTACTGAGGATCAAACCCAGTGCCTCACACATGCTAGGCAAGTGCTCTATTACTGAGCTATAACCCTAGCCCCATTAATATATTTCTTACAAGTGCTGTTTTTAAACAATCTCAGATATTGGAAGAAAGAAGAAAGAAACTATGAAACTGTCAGACTAACAGCGTATAAGGGACTTAAAGATAAGAAGGACAGATGCTAAGTGATCACTGCCTCTTAATTTTACAAAAATTATAAGGTCTGGGCTGGGGATGTGGCTCAAGCGGTAGCGCGCTCACCTGGCGTGCGTGCGGCCCGGGTTCGATCCTCAGCACCACATACAAACAAAGATGTTGTGTCTGCCGAGAACTAAGAAAAAATAAATAAATATTAAAAAAAAATTCTCTCTCTCTCTATCCCCCTCTCTCTCTCCCTCTCTCTTTAAAAAAAAAAAATTATAAGGTCTAAATTACTTTAGCATTTCATAATACTGGTTGTGCCACAGAGTTGAAGTCACCAAAACCTTTAGTGGCAGGGAGGATCATGCAAAATACACTGATCCTGATGTTGGGGTAATAATTGCTCTGTAAAACCCACATAGAAAATCTAAATAGAACAGAATTATTTTCATTCTTGTTCTTTTAAAATCATGTTTGCAGTGAAATTAAGCTTTAAGCTCCTAGCTAGAAATCCACTGGTGACCTTGAAGAATTTTATACTTGTAGAGCTGGTTTCTGATCTTGCATATAAATGTATGCATCTCATTATATAACAGATATATTTATAAAGCTGGCTTTGGACAGTGTTGGATACTAGTATTAAGGCCTGGTACTATAAAGTATGGAAATAATAGGAAATACTTAACTATATAAATGTATGTAGATAAAACTGGAAACTATAATTTGTTTTAAATCTTTACTTTTCAGATGAAATACCTGTCACAAAGAGAACATTAAAAATAAAACAAGAGTCTTCTGAAGAAGCACAGTAAGTAGCTGCTTTCCTCATAGTGTGTCTGCCTAAGGTTAATGACCTTGGCGAGGGAGGGTCAGTAAGAAACTAGACATGCTCTGGAAGTACAGCTACACCACACTATGTTTGTCCCATCCTCTCTCAGCTTAGCTTCAGTTTTCCAGTGGTGAACTGAAATGTTGAGAATTTCATATACCACAAGAAGGAATAAATGTGTTACTTGAAAATAAATAGGTTGATGGTAGTTGCCTATATGTGGATATCTAGATATTCAAGGACTGGAGTTTATTTGGGTTTAGGTAAAATGACAGGAGGCCAAAGTTACACTTAACTTCCTTATAGTATTACATTTTGGGGATCAAAAAGCAAATTCTTGGGGCTGGGGATGTGGCTCAAGCGGTAGCGCACTCGCCTGGCATGCGTGCGGCCTGGGTTCGATCCTCAGCACCACATACAAACAAAGATGTTGTGTCCGCTGAAAACTAAAAAATAAATATTAAAAAAATTCTTAAAAAAAAAAAGCAAATTCTTAGATTACTGTACATTTGGAAAAGAAGTAGCTATTGGAGGAAGAACTGAAAAAGTCTGAGGACAATGTCCACCACTGGTTCTAATTATTATTCTTTCTCCTGAGAGTTTAGCATCATCTGTTATGTTGTTGGGGTGGTGGTGGTGGTTGTTCTTCTTCTCCTCCTTCTCCATCTGGGTATCAAACACAGGGCTTCACACATGCTAGGCAAGCACTGTACCACTGAGCTATGTCCTGAGCTCCTCATCTCTTATGTTCACAGTTTGATCTTTCTTTTTTGCTTGTTTTCTTGCTTTGTCCTTCTTTCCTTTCCTTCTTTCTTTCTTTTTACTGGGGATTGAATCCAGGGGCTCTTAACCTGTGAGTCACATCCTTAGCCCTTTATATATTTTATTTTGATACAGGGTCTCACTGAGTTGTTTAGAGCCTTGCAAAGTTGCTGACACTGGCTTTGAACTTGTGATTCTCCTGCCTCAGCCTCCTGAGCTGTTGGTATTAGAAGCATATGCCACCACACCTGGCTCACAGTTCTTTCTTAATATCTTTGAATAGGTTTCTGATTAAATCTATTGAAGAGTATAGGTTAAAAGTTAAAATTTAGGGAGCAAGTAAAAAACATCATTCATTTTTCCACCGGTAACATTGAAGCATTTATAGAACCCACTTGTTCTTCTATGTTTGATTTCACACATTATGGTCTTCATGTTTAAGAATAGTGGAGAAAAGGACAAAGAGGCAAGATAAAAGGATTGCTAGATAACAAGCATTTAACAAACCATCATCACCACCATCACCATCATCACCCCCATCACCCTTTTGCAGACACTCATTTCTTTGTCAGAGTATGTCTTTGAAATAAAAGAATTCCCAGTGTCATCTGATTTTATGTCTGGGAAGAGGTTAAGCAGGGATCAGAGGTGTTTCCCAAAATTGTAACCATTATTCTGGTCCTCAAAAAAGAAGAATATATGAGGCTTGGGTTGGATAGCTCAGTGATAGAGCACTTGCCTAGCACATGTGAGGCAAAAGAAGAAGAAGAAGAAGTAGTATATAATGCAAAAAGTAAGTTTAAAGACTTCTCCTGTTGGGAGTTCATTCCTTTAAACCTGTCTTCTCCAAAAGAAGTTGATGTAACTGTCTGTGAACTCAAAACTTCACAGAATTGGTGTTACCAACCTCAAACCACTTGAACTTTTCTGGTTCTTGTAACTTCAGAAAGCAGGAAATGTAACATATTTTCCAGGAACTATTTAAATTACAGGGTCTGATTTTCATGGTGTTCTCTCACTTTGAGACTGCTATGAGCCTTGAACTCAGATCAGCTTTGGGCTCAGGTTAGCAGGACTAGAAACTGACAGGCTGTGGCTGTCTCTAGCCTGTGCTACTCTTTCTCCGGGTTCAGCTTAATGTGTGTTTGGGGGGTTCTGAAGAGCTTCCTAGTGGGCCATTATTTCCCAGTACAATAGTTTCTTCAGAACTGTTCTTTGCAGTGTCTGACTGTACCATTAATAATGTAGGGCTAAGAGAGTGCTGAATAAAATAACTATACTTAGGCAGTGGAGTTTTGTTCTCTGTAGGTATATGTGGTATAGCTGAACTAACTGATAATACCTATAGTAAAATACATCATCCTTCATCCATGAAACATCTCCTAATGTCATTTGTTCAACACATATCTTGCCTACTGAATGTTAGGCACTGAAGTACATCTGTGAGCAAAATGTACAAAAAAATCTTGGCACCCCATCCCAACTCCTTCATGGAGTCTGCCTTGTTCAATAAATCATTTCAAGAGGACAAGGAAATGTGGTAGCTATGAAAGAAAGTTTTCCTTTAAAGTGTTGACCCATGCAGAAATATAGTCCTGTATCTTAGCCTCACAAGCACCACAGTCGAAAATATTAAAAAAGTGGTCAAGTGCCTTCGTGTCCCCTGAGAAGAGATAGATGTCCCAGGAATTCAGTGATTTCATCTAGATGGCCATCCTGATGCTTGAGAAGCTTTCAAGACAAACAAAAGGGTGGAGAGTAAGTTCAGGACAGTCCTAGGCCCAAGAAGCAGCTGATAACAGAATATTAGTTCTTGTCATCTTGTGAAGAAAGTCCAGGGGAGCGAGGAGACAGGCAATGGCTATCTGAACCTTCCCGAGAATGTTCTTGAAGCTCTTCCCCTAGAAGGCATGAGAATTTAATAGGAAAGTCTCAAGGCTTTGTCTTCTTTCATGATCTCCTTCCCAGAAGTTGATAGCAAATCCACTTTTCATGCCTTTGTTTAATTGTGAATGTGGCAGTTCAGTGTTTTTGTACGTTAAATCTGTCAGTGATGTAGAGTATAATAGTTTGATGCCAAGTTATATTTAACAGACCAGTCTTCCAATATCAAAGTTATTAGAAACAAACTCATAACTTTATTTATGAGTATGTGTGTGCACGTGTGTAACTACAAGAAGTATCAGTTAACAAATTACAAGATTAAGGGGCTGGGGATGTGGCTCAAGTGGTAGCGCGCTCGCCTGGCATGCATGCTGCCTGGGTTTGATCCTCAGCACCACATACAAAACAAAGATGTTGTGTCCGCTGAGAACTGAAAAATAAATATTAAAATTCTCTCTCTCTCTCTCTCTCTCTCTCTCTCTCTC